GTGGAAGACCCGAGAAATTCGATATTTTGGATATTTTGATTTTCTAAGGTTTCGAAATCATCCAATTTATGAGGTATCAGATCAAATCCCGCTGTTTCATCTAAATAGGTTATTTGTCTCTTGGTTGCAAATGTATATATGCTATTTAACTGTGTTTTTACTTTTTTAGTTCTAATAAATGATGTATTCGTGACGAATATCGATAAATTTGAACTCGTTTTAATTAATGTGATGGTTGTATTGACAGTCATTTTTAGTGTAAATAGATTTTTTATATCATTATATTTTTTAAAAGAATACTCATTTCTATTCTATAGTTTCTATTAAGTTAATATTTATAATATGTATGTTTCTTTCTATTCTAAAAATATGAAGAAACAGTATATTGCGGTTTGCTAATGTTGTTAATCGACTGAGTCGAGTCGACTTAGTTGAAAACTGAGCCAAGTTTTGGGTCGAAGAAATCGACCCAAACTTTGATTTATGAACTTGGGTCGTGAACTCAAATCGACTCGAGGCGTGAACAAGAGTCGATTAGAGGATGAATATTTCAAATTATTTTTTTTATTATTAATTAACAAAACAATTATTTTTATTTTGTACCATGAGTCGTGAATACGAATTATATACTTGAGTAGAAAACAAATAGTTCTAAGGACTTGAGTAGTCAACTTGAGTCGACTATAGGATAAATAGTTCTATGAACTTGAGTAGTCAACTTGAGTCGACTAGAGGACGAATATTTCAAATTAGTTATAATTAATTAAGAGATTTATTCTGTATTTTTAGATTTCCAACTTGAGTCGTGAATAGAAAAGTCGACTAGAGGACGAATATTTCAAATTAGTTTTTATTATTAATTAACAAAAAAATTATTTTACTTTATACTTTCAATTTGAGTCGTTAATACTTAATATCGAGTTCAATTTTAAATGTTATTTTAGGCTATAATTAGTATTGTTAAATGGTTCTAATTTAGCCGATTTAAATTAACATTTTAGCCAAAACAAATTATATACTTCATTATCTTATTCCACATTTTATTTGATCAAATAAATTCTTATTATACATTTTTTGATATTGAATACTGTATCCTCAAATAATATATTTAGCAGGTATCTGAATAATTTGAAATTATATTTTAACCATTTAGGAAAGGCAGACGTGTGATAATATTCAAAACTATATGGGGGCGAATGAATTTTCTTTAGCACTCCTCCTCATTATTTAATATATATTTAGTATTTTTATAGTCCCCTTTTTAGTCATTCTTTTAGTCATTCTTTTAGATAATTATTTTGTAAATTATTTTATTTTATTTATAAATTAATAACTATTAAAATATTTAAAATTCCCTTATTCTTATCTTGTGTAATTGTGATGTAATATTGGTTTAAATCTTTGTGGATAAGAACTATGACGACTTTATTCTTATAATATTATTTAGCATTTAAGAATTTATATCTTACAAAATATCAACAAGTGTTTACATTACTAAAATAATTAATAATTTTTTTAAGTATCACATCCTGTTTAAATAAAAATAAAAAAGATTACCATACACATACATAAGATATAATATATATTAAAAATTATTTTTAAATATATCCCTTTTTAAAAAATAAATTTTGAATTTAAAAATAAACAAAAATACATAACTTAATGATGATTTATGGAACATGTTGACAATTAAATAAAGACCCATCCCATCCTAGAGAAAAATATTTTGTCTGAAAAATAAATAAAAAATTTATAAAAAATTTAAAATAATCTTCCGTTTTTTACAAAATTAATTTTTATTGAATGAGTTAAAAAATACACAATTTCTTTTTGGGTAAAACTTAAGATCAAATTATGACAATTTATAACTTATTTTTTAGTTGTTTATTATATTTTCTATTAAATTTACCTTTCTTATATTATAGTTTCAAAAACGACTTGTGAAATCTTTATTTAATGTATATTTATTTTATAAAAGATCTAAATATATTTATTTTTAAAATAATCTTCCGTTTTTTTACAAAATTGATTTTTATCTTTTTGAATGAGTCAAAAAAAAATAAATACACAATTTCTTTTGGGATAAAACTTAAGGTTAAATTATGATAATTTATAACTTATTTTTTCTTTGTTTATTATATTTTCTATTAAATTTACCTTTATTGTAAAGTTTCCCGAATAAGGAATTAAAGTTTTATTTTCTGACAAAAGCTGCTTTATTTTATTAAATACATCTTGTTCCCACTTTTAATGCATGTTAATATATGCAATGAAGCGGCTATATCATGTAAATGTAGTAATAGCTCGTGATAATTCACAAGTCCTAAAAAAGATCGCAATTGGTATATATTTTTATGAGTTAGTATACTTTGAATAGTAACTATTTTTACTTTCCCTGTATGCACCCCATTTTCATCTATTACAAATCCTAGAAAAGAAACTATTTCTTTTAAAAAACGTATTGTCGCCCATTTTGCCTTCATACCAGTCTGTTTTAATTTCATTTTTTCACATTGTTCAAATGTTCTACATCATTTTTTCCCGTTATGATAATATCATCCAGGTATACTCCGGTCATTTGGCAGTTCTGTAATGATTATCTATATATCGTTGGAAAATAGTTGACGCACTAGAAAGGCCAAAAGGCATATATTGATATCGATAATACCCAAGTTAGGCATTCCTTTGAGCTCTATTTTATTGGCAGCTGCAAATAAGCATCTTTTAAATCTATGACAGTAAATTTCGACCGCCCTTGTAATTTGGCCAATAGATATCCACAGTTGGTATTGTAGGGTTTAATGTAAACTTAAAATCCGCACAAATCCTGCTGTTGGAGTAGCCCCCGTCATACGCATTTTTGTTGGGTCAATCTCCTTCAGTATTCCTGATTTAATCAATCTATCGAGTTCCATTTCAATTAGTTTTCGGAATGGAAAAGGTACTCTACATGCTGGGTATGATTTCGTTCGGCCTTGCTGACTGACTAAGATGCAGAGTTGTTAAAGTAGCGAGCTACTTGTAGCGCGCTATCTTTTTTGGTAGCTATAGCTAATTTTTTGTAATTATTTAATTTTTTAGCGCGCTACTTTCTAAAAATATAATGAAGGTAAGTATAAACATGGAAATTTAAATATAATATCATAATTAATTATAATTTTTATGATTTATCATTTAATTTTGAAATTGAAATATATTTTAAATTTGTAATTTATATTTTCATTTGTATTATAAACCTAAATCACGTGTTAATAATTTAAAATGCCATTTCCTATGGATAACCAAATCGTTGAAAGTGATTCAGACTATGGTATTAATTGTTAATTGAGATTGTTTTTTTATATATTTAAACTTGTTTAACTTAAATTGCTATTATTTGAACATAACCTATTTAATATGTTACGATTATTTTAGCCTGTAACCTTGTTTCGTTTATATTGTTTTGTTAATATATTTTATAATAAATTAATTTAAAATAAAGAAATTTTTATATAACATTTTCCAATATTTCCACCATATTAGCATGGTGGCAATGGTGGGATCCGACACTATTTATAGTTAGGAACCAAATAATAAATTTAAAGAAAGATGTAAAATATTAAATTTAAATTAACTTCGTAAAATAAAAACTAAATTCTATAAATCAGTCTGCAGATCCTATCTAGAAGATATATAAAATCAACATGCTGACTTCTCAATAAAAAAAAAGAAAGGTAATATAAAACATAGATTTGCTATTTTATTATTTTTATGATATTCTTATTATCATTCATTTGATTTACCAAGTTAGTTAATATTTAAGGCAATGTCATGGCCATTGGGATATTTTTTTTTATAAATCGTCTATAGGTCATTGTTAAAAAGAAAATAATATATAATACAAATAAATAAAAATAAAAAATAAAATTCAACGAAATAAACATCTTCTTAACCTTTAAAGACCATAAAAAAACAGTTCAAAGTACAAGGTCGATGAACTTGAATTTATTTTTAAAAAAATATAAAATAAATATTTTTTCAAAGTACAAGGTCAATGAACTTGAATTTATTTTTTTTATAATAAGAGTTCAAAGTTCAAGATTGATGAACTCGTTAAAAAAAGTTAATTCTAGCTAAGAGAAATTTATATACGAAATAAAACAAATAAATAACGCGCTCAACGAAGCGATATATGATAAATTCAGTACTAAAAGTGATCAAATTAATATCGAACTTTCCAAATAATATGTTTGAAGCTTTTATATTATAATTGTCTGCGCTATATGTATATATATAAAAAAGAATATTAAATTTTTTTTATTTATAAACATGTCAAAAAAGGACGAGTCTACTGTTCCTAATTTCCTTGGGGACATAGACATCTATATTGATAGAATCATAAGATATTTAAATAAAAATAAAATTAACGACAAAGCATACATTTTAACACAAAATCTTCCCGATAATGCAATCTATAAGTTCAGACGCCGATAATGATTTTGATTCAATAATAATAAAACTTAAAATTTTATATCCAAAAAAAACGTCAACACTAAAATTTTAGAATTTTATAAAGCAAGTCAATCTAAAGATGAAAAATTTATTGATTGCTAGAATTTGCCAACTAAACAAAGAGTGCAATTATTTAGATGACAGGGCAATAGAAAAAATTAAAATTTGTACCTTTTCTAAGGATATTAAGTATAAAATAAAAGATTTGGATAAAATTGATGAGATTATAAAAATAGGATGTGAGGCAGAAGACATCGATACTAATATTACTTTTGATAAAGTTAACTCTAAACCAGATACTTTAGATTTGGAGGACAAACTAAAAGATGAACTCGAGATAAAACGCATCTCGGATACCAGAAACCATCGTTACGGACAACGGCACTAATTTCACCAGCAAATTATTTAAAAAATTTTGTTATGATCACGGTATAAAGCAAGTACTAACATCAGCTTACCACCAACAATCAAATGAACAGGTGGAAAGGATGGTTAGGACATTCAACAGTATGAAACGCAATATGGAGGACAAGAACACAGTTGCTGATATAGCGCTAGAGAAGTTTTTGTTCAATTACAGAAACACACCTAATACGACTTACGGGCATTCCACCCACCAAATTAATGTTCAATCCATTATTTCTCCGAATAGGATCATTAACTCAGGGGATAAAGTATGGTTCAAAGTATTTGGCGAAAACAAATGGGATAAAGGTACTATCAAACGAAAGTATAGCGACCTTTTATATGAAGTGGACACAGGTGACCGCATCATAAGACATCTGGGTCAAATAAAAAAAGATCCAATGATACGACTAATATTAATGATCTCGTTCAGGAGGATTTCTTGAAGGGAAAGGATGCTGTCAGTACATCAACACCGTCTTATTCGATTATTGCCAAGACCGGTTCGAGCATCAAAAAAACCCGAGAGGTTTAAAGAGTTTATCATGTCCATAGATGAGACATATATAAGTCAGTACATAAAACACTTGGTGAAGTACCTAATAAATAGTACTTTCTACTAAAAAATATATTCAAACGCCAAACTAAAATATAAAGATAAATATAAAAGTAAAAATAAATTAAATACTAAAACGCAAAAATAAAAAAAAAGATGAAAACGCTAAAAATATTATATAATAATCTTGTTGATTTATCATCCTTTTATTATTCTAACATATCAATTCATTAATTATTCATACATTCCAACATCCTATTTAATAATAATAATTTTACAACTGGTGATAATGACGACAAGCCTACGTACTCGAAACGATATTAACAAACCAACGTGATAGAATCAAGCCAACGATTATAATGACTTATGAATGACTTTGAGGTTGATTTTTTTATATATTATAACTTGTTAAATTTAAATTGCTATTATTTTAACATAGCCTATTTAATAGATAATTTTAGCCTGTAACCTTGTTTTCATTTAAATTGTTTTTTTATAATACATATATATATACCTTATTTGATATTTAGTTTTTTAGTTATTTTTTAGTTAGTATATTTTATAATAAATAAATTTAAAATAAAGAAATTTTTGTATAACATTTTCCAATATTTCCACCATATTAGTTGAATGAAATGGAAGATATCAGGGGAGAAAATGTTCTTAATAGCTATAAGACAAATTTCCCATTCCCTAGATTTGAAAAATTTTTTAAAATAAATATATAACCAAAACTGGCTTCAAATTTATTTGTTTAAAATGTAAAAAAATATTTCCTCAAATCAATCCTGTTATAACCTCAAGAAACACCTAAAGTCTAAATTGTTCATGCCAATAGCTTTAAGGAAATGGAGAAACATCTAAATAATTTTGGTATAGGCGACTCTACATCCAAAAAGACTAATTCAAATCAAACCAAATTAATTAATAATACAAATGCAAATATTTCTCAGTAATTGGCTAAATCTATTTTATAATGATACAGTTTACGTTCAGCCAATGTCCTTGTTTGATAATACATCATTTACCATGATGATTAAAACTCTATCCCCTGGCAATTTTATGTCGCCAGACACTAATGAATAAAATAGCGATAACTTTAAAGTGATGAAAGATGCTCTAATAGTAGAGTTATCAGAGATATCATATGTATGTACCACGGCAGATAGTTGGACACATAACACAAGGTAAAAACTTATAAAATGCAACAAATTACCATAAATATTTATTTTTATTACATAAATTTTTTTTAATCTAAACTAACTATATTTTAATATTTATAAATGTTGATTTTTATATATTTACTATACAATAACATTTAAAAAAGTAGCTTAAAAGTAGCTAAAGCTACTTTTAAAAAATAGTAGCTAATAGCGCGCTACTTTTTTTGACAAATAGCGATAGCGGGCTAATTTTTTTGATAAATAGCGATAGCGGTAGCACGCTACTTTTAAAAGTATCGATTAACAACTCTGCTAAGATGTATGCTAACTTAAAAATCATTAACTAGTCCTGGCTTAACATCGAAAACACTGACAAATTCTGTAGTCATGGCAGCAATTTGCTTATCAATTGTTATAATATCTTTACTTGTTGTACTACGTATTGTAACTTGTCGTGGAATAAATATATTAAATAGTATCTGTGGTAGTCCAAACAGCGGTATGTCATTTGAATGGGTAACCACAATTGGTAATGATCTGCTTATCTTTTCAAGTTTCACTCTTACAATAGTTTCACCAAGGACGTCCAGCTAGCCGTAAACTCATAATGATTTTGTTGGTCCAAGTTTTGGTCTAATTTCATCCCAATATTGTTTTCCAATTACCGATTCTTATCATAATCAAATTCAATCGGTACTCCGTTTATCCTAACAGACAGCGTCTACATGACAAAATTTCCATTGGATGCAAACCCCCTTCAAAAACCTTTGCCCACCCCCTAAAAAATGGTGCCGCCTTCGGCGGCGGTGTTTTCCTATTATTATTTTCGCCTTTTTAGAGAATTTATAAAGGGTAACTTAAATTCTATCTCTACTACCTATATCGATATTTTGTGAATATAAAGAATTTATTTTTTAGATAATAAATTCAATTAAAACCTCCATTATTTACAATGAATTAATTCTTATGGCATTATAAGCTTGCTGAAATATCGAAACCTTATAAATTACATTTAAAAGGATAGCAGAAAGTTTTATTTGGAAAACAATGTGTGTGATTGTTTACAATATTTGGTCGATGAATTGTATTATAATAATTCTATAATAAAATTATTAATTTTTACAGCAATAAATTTTGTCCTATTTCATTTCAAAATTTAATAGATAGCCCCCCAAAAAATTTATCCTACCCCCCATTAAAGCAGCCTACCCCTCTCAAAAATAGGATGCAAACTGTTCCTACCCCTCCCGCTCATGTAGACGCTGCTAACAGATATCTTAGCACTGTTTCTACAAATTTGGAAGATATTATTAATTGAATCTTATGATTCATTGTTATCTTGATGCTTAACATGTAGCTTAGGTCCCTTACAGTATTTTGAATAGTGCTCTATCTTTTTACAATTGTAACATTTCACTCTTGATGTAAAAAATTGGAATGAGATGTGAATTCTTCCACATCGTGAACAGTTGTTCTTACCCATATCATTATTGTTAAATGTACTATTATCTCTGTACTTAAAATTATTATTATTATTGTAATAATTAAAATTTCCTTTTTCTTTAATATTATATGGGTACTTGATTCAAAGGATTTCCTTGATTATTTTCCAATTGCTCCTTAGGTTTATTTATTTTTTTTACGAGCATATTTGTAACTTCATCCTCAGCTGTTTCCACTGCCAAAGCCGTATTTAAAACTTGTTAAAAGCTAACCCTTTCACCCAGGTCATTTATTCCACCTGGAAATCTAGTGAAATATCTTACTCCAATGCAGCCATTTTAATTCAAGCCACCATCTGATCCCTCAATCTCCCATCAAGGTAAGATTCGAACTAACACTTTTGTGCCAATCTTATAAGGCGACCTGCAAACTTGCTTCGCCTTTCCCTCTTTCAATTCGAATAAACTTAATCCTAGAACTAAACAAAGTTGAAGTGGGCTTTAAAACTGCCTTACCAACTTCAATTATCTCCTCATAATTAAGTTCTTATAAGATTTTTTTTTATTGGTTTCTATATTTATTAATAACCCTTTTATCTCCAACACATCAGCTATTTAATATAATCTTGATAATTGTTTTATTTATCAAAATTATCAAATTTTACTTGTGTAATATTTATTGATCAAATTTGTTTTTTACTTAATTGCCATTATTCCCTTTTACTTAACATTCATTTTACCACTCTTATTAATTAAAATGTTTGATTCATCAATTTTACCAATTACAGAGTTGGTATCTCTTCTTTATTCATGAAATCATTCGTCGCCATTATAGTAAACTATATTACATATGACTTTATTGTTGCATTCATTAGAAAATGTATAATGTCAATCATCATGATAATATAATCCAAATAGAATGTAATATAAAATGCATGAACTATAATAATATCTTATATAGCATTTATCACAAGTAAGAATTTTATAATTTAGAATTAAATATATATTATAAAAACTTATAATTACCTATAATGTTTGGCTAATAAAACATAGCTTTTTCTAACATCTACTTTGCATTTGGGTAAATCAAACCAATAAAGCTGCCTCTATTTTTGGGTATCAACTCATATTCTAACTCTTTTAGTTGCAGGGGGTTTATTCCTTAGAAATTGTGAGCATATACTTGCTTTATTAGCTTCCAATCTGTAAATACATGACATTTATATCTTAACGCTAATTGTTTTTTTTAAAGTAGTGCTTAATTTTACAATCATTTCCCCCCTTTGCTAGAGGGTTAATGTTTGGAATGATCTTATATTCTCAAAATAATTTTAACATGATTATAATATATAATAAAATTACCATTTTTCTATTTAAAAAAGTTAAAAAATCACGAATAATTTTTTTCGATAATTTTTTTTTATTTATTCATTTATCCGATTAAAATAACGTTATTGTCATACAAAGGGACCTGAAAAATTCCACAATTATTCGATATTTCTCAATTAACCGATTCGCAATTATAAATGTAATTTAACATATGTCATAGTAATTTATATCAAAATCGCGATGTTTTTTCGCATTTAAAAGTGTTTGCACGTAAGCGATTTACAATTAAACTGTTTTGAATGTATTATAGTTAAACCATGCCCTGCACCTAATAATTATATAATTTATTATATCTTATATTTGAGAATTAAATTATATCTACAAATGATGATAACAGAGAACCATAAGGAAAACAACATTACAAAATTCAAGCAAAAAAATTAACTATAACAAGGCAGACCACGATGAAAAAGCTTTACTAACAAGAAATCATGTTAACGAATCAAGCTTGATAAAAAAGTCGCAAAGGAATTATAAAGGAAGGAATGATGAGATTGCATTAACAATTTACATTTTTGATTATTCACATACTTATGTTTATTTGTGTTCTTTTAAAAAATATTTGTCCAAAAATCCTCATAGCTTATTCGGTTCAATGATAACATCATACCACATTCAAATGCACTTAAGCTACCATTCTTCACTTCACATATAAATTCTTCTTTTACATCATAAACATATATAATAGAATTCTTACACATTTTTTTGGCAATCATGCCCTAACCTTCTTCAAATCCCTTGGTAAAAAAATCCGCGCCATCACTGGTGACCAGTGCCGTAGACACGGGGTGGGCAGAGGGGGCCCCCCCCAAAAAAAATAATTTTTGGCCCCCAAACCTGGCCCCCAGAAAAAATCTTTGGCCCCCAAAAATTTTTCTGCCCCCCCCCCCCCCAATTTGAAATTTTTTTTTAGAATTGATTATTTTTATATTTTTAAAATAAATTTTGAATATTTATTCTACAAACATGTCTAGTTTGTAAATTTTTTTCTATCCTGTTTTATTTTTATTTTTACCCAATATTAAATTATCATTCATTCATTTTTTTTTCATTTGTTTTTGTTGTGTATAACATTCTCTATAGGTATCACATTTATATTATAATATATAACCAGTTATTTTATTTTACAGCGTTTATTTTAAAATTATGAAGAAACAATCAGTTATTAACTCTTATTTTAAGTTAAAGTTAAACAAATGTCAAGCAACATCACCTCTACAAACTACTAGTAATACTACATCAGAAATTTCAGAAACTGATTCTTCTCATAGTTAGTATAAATTTATATTATTATTTCATGACTTATATGATATTGATATAGCGCATATATTATTATTTCATATATATTTATTTTATATAAGATAAGAGATAGACATTTATTATTAATATTATCATTTTTGTATAATAATTTTAATTATTAAAATAAATATATTCACTCATATTTCAAGATATGAATGAAGCTAATAATCTAGAAAATGATCCTCACTACACTCAAGAGGAGGAAGATGGTAAATAGTTTAAAATTTAACCCAAATTTTTCTATTTATATATTTTTGACAATATCAATAGGAGTAGGAGATTATGGTGTTTCATTATTACATTTTGATTTTAAAAAAAATAAAGACGAAGAAGAGACTCAATCATCTTCATCTAGCAGCTCAGTCTCTCATTGTCAAGAGGCAACTATTAATTGATTTATAAATATAAAAATATTATATTTTTTTGTTAATCTTTAAAGATATAATTTTTATGACCTTTTTCTAGTTTTTAATACTGAATATCTATAATTTTACTGATCAACTTTACTGATAATCTTCATCAGGGTTGGGCACTACAGTATAGCAAATACTTGTATGTTAAATACAAGATAAATTTTGTGTTTGTTCATTTTCAGCATGCCCTTCCTTCGCCCATCCTGATGACCATTATTATTTATGACCCTTTCCCTCATTACAATTTATTTTATAATATTTTTAGTGTCAAAAAAGTCCTCGGTTCAATTCAAATCCCAGGTGACCTTAGCCAGAATAAATCAAATCAAATTAAACAATTACGCGAAAAAAGATATTTATGAAAGGCAAAGATCATTTCAAAAATCATGATATAGAGGCCGAGACTGGTTGGAGTATAGTGTAAAAGCTGACGCTGCCTTTTGTTTTCCATGTAGGAAATACTTGTGTAATCCAAGTGATAAATTTGGACAAACGGGATTCAGAAATTGGAAAAATGCGTTAGCTGCCAAGAAGGGACTGCTAAAACACGAGAGCTCAAAAGCTCATTTAAAATCAATTACAATATGGCATGATAAAAATCAAAATATAAACAAAGGTACAGAAATAACTAAAATGTTGGGAGGTGATCAAATTAATCGTAATCAATATTATATTAAATCAATATTTGATTTGATGCTATTTCTTAGCATACAAGAGCTACCTTTCCGTGGGACTGGTTCAACAAATATTACGGATGCTACAAAAGATGAAAACATAATTTATTCTTCTGAGATATTTATAGCAATGTTTTCCTACACCATTCAAAAAGACCCTGAATTAAATAAAATTATGAAATTTATACCCCAAAATGCCCAGTTTACATCACCACAGATTCAAAACGAAGTAATATCCATTATGACAGATATGGTACTTGAAAATATTTCAGACAAATATAATAAAAGCGAGATGCCTTTTTTTTGTCTTAAGGCTGATGAGACAAGATGCTTCAGGTTGTGAAAACCTGAGCATAATAATTCGCTATATTTTTTTCTGGAGAAATCCAAGAAAATTTAATAGGAATCATTAATTTAGAGTGTCTTTCTGCTGAAAGTATTACAGATTGCATTTTAAAGCAACTTAATGATCTAAATATTAATTCAGCTAATATAATAAGCCAGGCATATGATGGTGCAAACGTTATGCCTGGCCGAAATGAAGGAGTGCAAACACTTCTTCAAAAAAAATTAATAAAAATGTTTCTTTTATACATTGCTACAACCACAAGTTGCATCTTGTGGTTCAAAATTGGTATAATAATATTGTTATTATTTCTAATTTTTTTAATTTATCAAATGCATTGCATAATTTTTTCAGGCGTTTTAACGTATCCTGTAAATATACAGGCACACCCTTAGGAGACTTTTAGACCAGAGGTGGACTGGTCATTTGGAAACATCTCTCATTATTTATGAGAATTTTGAGGCTATTGGTGAAGTATTATTTTACTTTTCTAATAGAACTCTTAATTCAGAGGTTTCAATTCATGATTCAGTCGAAGCCTCTGGTCTTTTATCTCAATGTATTAATATAAATTACATTATATTAGCCATCATAATTTATGAGATATTAATTACAATAGATCTACTAAATAAGTATCTACAATCAGTAAGTACTAATCTAGTGGATGCTAAAAATTGTATTGATTCTACTATCAATATATTAAAAAATAAAAGAAGTGATAATTCTTTTGCTTTGATTATGATTAAGGCTGAAAAACTTTTATCAAAATTTAATCTTACTCCCCAAAAATCATCACGGGTACGTAAAACGCCTAAAAATTTCCAAGATTTTTTAGTTGATAGCAAACTAGAATTCGATTGTGAAAAAGACTCCAATTGGAGTTCTTTAAAAAGGATATATTATGAAATTATAGATAACTTTGTGGATCGTTTTTTAGACCGATTTACAGAAGATGATTTTAATCTTTTAATACATTGTCCCCCCTTGACCCTAATTATTTTTTATCAGATAAATGGCCCCATTAAAATCCCTGTTAAACTTAAATATGGAAACACTGCATCATGAAATGAAGATAGCAAAAGGATTGCTAGCTTCGGAAGCTAAAGAAAATCATAATTTTGAAAATATCTTACATATTATGTATAAAAAATATATAATCATGCATTTAAAGAATTATATAATGCTACTCAGCAGCGATAATCATTGGGATATCAACGGCTTCTTGTGAGGCCTCGTTCTCTACATTAAAGGGAGTTTTATCGAGCAGTAGAGAGTCTATGAAGGATAAACGTAAACAAAATTTAGTATTAATGGCGTATGAAAAAAGAATAAAGCAGAATTTATCTTTTAGTTCCTTTATATTAAAATTTAAAAATAAAAATCGCCGTATTCTATTATAGTAATATTTTGTTTTGTATATGCATATTATAGTATTATTTTGTTTTGTATATTCAAATTATAGTATTATTTTGTTATTAAATTTTTAATAAAAATAGGAAAAAATTTATATGAATGCGTAATTATTTGTTTGATTTTAAAAAAATAGTCCCCCCCCCCCAAGTAAGCACTTGGCCCCCCTAAGTGAAAATTCCTGGCTACGGCCCTGCTGGTGACCCACAGGAAGGTTTCTTCTCAGACAGCGCATATCTGTTGATATATGCAGATCTAACTGCATTGCCATCCACGGCTCTCTTTCTTGACCTCCTCCCACCCAACATACAATTTACTATACAAATTATTTTTTTTATTTCTTTTATTATACAGTTTTTTATATTGATTTTATACAACATGACATTTTTAATATATATTTTTAAATTACGTATATATGTTTACTTTTAACGTTCATAATAAATTGGTTATTATCTTTAAAAAAAAATCTTCTATTTAATATTACACTTCTTACATAATTAATACTGTGAAAATTATATACTATAAAAACTCTTCCAGTAAAACGCTATTTAATAACTTACATAATTTACCAATACAACTCTAAAACTAATAAATTTTCAACTCCAAATTTTATTCGCCATCTAAATATAAAACTAATAAGAAAAAAGAAAAATTGTTAAGAAGTCAATATAATTATAAAATCTCGCCCCTTTTATACTTTTTTGGGACAAAGAAATCACCAGTTCTACACGTGATACATAAAATCAAGCGACTTTTTGAAATTTTGACCTTAAAATAATTGTAAGTGCTTGAATATTTCTTAATATATCGATGAATTGGTACACAATAAAGCGGTGAGGTAAAAAAGGAAGAGAACGAGTTTATCGAACCAAATAGAGTGATGGAATAAGATCGACGATCAAATGCGATAAATTATTTTGTATTACCAAGAAAAAGAGCAGAAGAGGTGGTTTTTAAAAAAAAAAATCAAGAACTGACTGTGTAATGGATATAGATTATCAACTTGCGAAAAAAGAAATTATGGGAATGAAAACTCGATGAATACTACGGAGGCAAGTCATTAGGGGGGGATTCCCCCTATAGCAAATTTGACTTTTTTCATAAATATCATTTTAAGCTAATAAAATTTTTACCCCCCCCCCCCCCCCCAATCAAAATTTTACAAATATTTGATTATCAATTTTCTAACATATTATTCAAAAATATTAATAAAATAGAAAAATTTTTAGTCAAAGAGATTGAAATCAAACGGTAATTTTTTTAATATTATATATAATTATTTTATTAAATTCAAAATTATTAATGAGTTAAAATTAATAAGTATTTATAATTTTTTTAATATTTTTCATTTTTACTTTCATTTTGTAGAACAGAAGAAATAGAAATAAAAAAGTTAAATAAGGCTAAGCATGAAAAAAAGTAATGTGTCGTCAGAAGCGATATCATTATTGAATTCAATGGATCAATCAGAGTTTATCATTGCTGCTAGTTGCATCAATAAATTATTTTCCTAAAGCTAACTACTTTGTAGAAATTTACAAATACCAAATTTAGATTTGGTTCAGGTTATTGATTTGGCGGAAAATTAATATGAACAGGTAGATACAATAAGAGTGAATGTAGATAAATATTTTCATAATATTTATCTAGAAGTTGAATCGAATGCTAAATTTTATGATATAACACTAATTAAACCTCGCTAGCACCTAGGCAATTATTGAGATGTAAAATAAATATTGGCTCAACTGAAGAATATTACAGGGTTTCCTATTCAAAAAAGGAAAAGTCCCAATCAAAAAAAAAAGGTTTCAATCATAAAAAAAGTCCAATCAAAAAAGGAAAAGGGTCAATCATAAAAGGAAAATATCCATTCAAAAAAATCGTAATTTTTTAAATTTTTTTAAAAAAAATTATAAATTTTTTAATTTTTATTTATTTTTGTCATTCCTTCTTTTTTATTTCTAACTTTTTGCGATTTTTTTACTTTATTTGTATCTTTTCTCAATTTATTTTTCTTCTCATTTTTGATATTTCTTTTGTATTTTTAAAAATAATTTATACAGGGTTTTCCATTCAAAAAAGGAAAAGTCCCAAACAAAAAAAAGTTTCAATCATAAAGGAAAAGGTTTAATCAAAAAAGTAAAAGGTCCAAACAAAAAAGGAAAATTCCCAAAAAGAAAGGAAAAAGTCCGATCAAAAAAAGAAAAGTGTCAAACAAAAAAGTAAAAGGTTCAATCAAAAAAGGAATAGGTCCAATAAAAAAAACAAAAGTTTCAATCGAAAAAGGAAAATTCCCAAAAGAAAAGGAAAAGTATCAATTAAAAAAGGAAAATTCCCATTCAAAAAAGGAAAATCGTAATATTTTTAAATTTTTTTAAAAAAATTTATAAATTATAAATTTTTCATTTTTCTTAAATTTTTATTTATTTTTGTCGTCATTCCTTCTTATTTTATTTCTAACTTTTTGCGATTTCTTTACTTTATTTGTATCTTTTCTCAATTTATTTTTCTTACTATATTTTTTCTCAATTTTTTTCTTCTCATTTTTGATAATTCTTTTGTATTTTTTAAAATAATTTATACATTTAGGTTCATTTTTTAACAATTCTTTACGTTTTTTTCATCATACATATGTCGTAGTTTATAAAAGGATCATACAGGGTTTCCCATTCAAAAAAGGAAAAGTTTAAATCATAAAAGGAGAAGGTCCGATCAAAATAGGAAAAGGCCCGATCAAAATACGAAAAGTGTCAAACAAAAAAGGAAAAGTGTCAATCGAAAAAGGAAAATTCCCATTCAAAAAAGGAAAATCGTAATTTTTTTAAATTTTTTTAAAAAAAATTATTAATTTTTCAATTTTTCTTAAATTTTTATTTATTTTTGTCATTCCTTCTTATTTTATTTCTAACTTTTTGCGATTTCTTTACTTTATTTGTATCTTTTTTCTATTTATTTTTGTCATTCCTTCTTATTTTATTTCTAACTTTTTGCGATTTCTTTACTTTATTTGTATCTTTTCTCAATTTATTTTTCCTACTATAATTTTTCTCAATTTTCTTCTTCTCATTTTTGAAAATTCTTTTGTATTTTTAAAAATAATTTATAAATTTAGGTCCATTTTTTAACAATTCTTTACGTTTTTTTTTCATCATACATATGTCGTAATTTTTAAAAGGATCATAACTATCCGGGATCTTCACAGGATTCAAAGGGATCCCTTTATATTTTCAATTTTTTAAAGGATAAAGAATTATACGACATTATAACGTTTGAACCATGATATAGAAGAATCTTATTTTAAAAAGCGTTTTTCGCGCGTTTCGTTTTTTAATTTAATTGTTATTCATTAATTTTCAATGTTGTTTTTAATATGATATGTCTAACATAGGGTATCAATCGATAGCTAATCAAAAGATCTATTCAACTGGAAGTCAAACTCTCCCCCATAATGGGCTGGTCTAGGTCTTGGGGGGTCAGAAATATTTTTATCTAAACAA